AAACAAACAAAATAGGCTAAAAGGTCAAGATAAAATGTTAAATTCAAACCATAATTATTTTATTTTTTTTCAAAAAAGTCAAAAAAATTAAAAGTCCAACTCAAACGAGACTTCTTAATCTCAAGCTAAAATAGTTAAAAAAATTAACGCACATCGCAATCGAAAGGAATATTTGTGTATAATTCAAACATTTATAAGTTAGAACCAACAATTGGATTTAGAATGGCTGGCACCTCCATTCATAACATTTGGTCTGATTAATAAGTCAAATTGGACAAGGATGAGAGAGATGAGAGTATAATAATATATAGGCAATTCAATTCAATTATGCCATCCACACTTGACTTCCAAGTCAATTTTGGAAACTCTCCCATATGTTCAACATTAATCAATTAATGACTTGGACTGTTATTTTGATTTTCTTTTTTCAATCGATAAAAGGTTACTTTAATTATAAATATAATAAAAAAATTTATTAAATTTTGAACAGTTATAACTCCTAATAAAAATAAATAAACAACTTATTATAACTCCAAAAAAAAATTGTGAGAGAAATAATCATTTATTGTCTTTGGTAAAATTTAAATTTCTTAACTTTTAAATTAACAAGTGATCAATTGAATTTGTCCAATTAATTTGAGTATTTAGATTTTTTTTTATTTTATTTGAAAGCCTTAAAAAATCCAACTCCGCCATGTAAGATCTAATTTTCTTGTCTCGTGTCATCGTGGATAAATTTAAAATTTAAAATTATGAGTTTCTAACATTCTTAGTGCCTTAGACTAATATTTTTTGAAGACAATCTTTGAGCAACCTACGTATTCTGTCACTATTATTGATAGATATTTCTACCAACCTATCCCAATTTGTGTAACATGCTGATTTAGTAGTATTTTTTTGTTCTTTTTTGTGAAGCAAAGTTCTTTCCACAAAATGCATGTACTAAAAGACAACTATTGGCTCAATGCCTTCCCACAAACCAATGGCCTACCACACCTTATATTATTAGTGTGAATTGTGTAAATTGCAAATCTACCAAGTCAATTGAGATATTCAGAGAGAGAGAGAGAGAGGGCAGTACAGGATTGACTATGTTTTTTTTAATAAAAAAAAGGTATTACTGAAATAATAGAGATTCCTTTTTTCTTGACCCCACAACCCTACAAACACATGTCAGTGAGTGATAGGAGGAAAAAAATCAAAAACAAAAAACAAAAAATAAAAAATTGGTCAATCTCAATACTTTGGGATAGTGGTGGTCAAGAAAAAATGAAATCTCAACATTTTTCTAAAAAAAATATATAAAAAATAAAAAGATAATGTGACCTAAATAAACCAACAAACCAAAAGAGATTAGTTCTCTGGTTGTTTTTGTTCGTTTCCCTTGTAGCTAGCTATGTTCCTTACTTCTCCTCTTAATGAGCCAAAAATAAATAAATAAAATAAAATAAAATCCAAGATCATATGATAAAAAATTGATATTGGGTCAATCTGTCTACTTTGATTTTTAATCCTAAAATTAAAATTAAAATTCTGAAGAGAAACAAGAATGGACAGGTTTGGTAGGCGATTACATTTGAGTACTGGCAGACCTCCTCGTGAACCTCGTGAGGGCACCCTTAACCACATGACTCGTAAGTACACATAAGCCTTTAAATAAATATTACTCCATCCGTCCCAAAATAATGATCTCTTTTAGGGAATTTAACTTTTTTTGGTAATATAATTATTACATTTGAAAAAAATTGATTTTTTAAAATTACCCTTTTGATAGTATATTTTTTGGGAGTATTCAATGTCATAATTATACTTTTTATATTGTTTATTAATTTAAAAGAAGGGCAAAATAGGAAATTTATATTATTTTTGTATTTAATTTTTGAAGAGGGACTAATATTTTAAAACAATGAAAAATTGAATAAGGGACTAATATTTTAGGACGGAGAGAGTAATTGTTATCAAATAAGACTAAATAAATAAGAAAAATATTTGGACCTCAGATAGGTGAGTGGGAGTTGTGAAGGTCATATTTTTTTAAAATAATGTTATATGTAGTAATTAATGTACTAACTAGTATATTAACAGATGATGTGGCATAATTTTAAAGATTTTGAATATTTATAATTTGTATAATAGGTGGGGTCAATAATAATGACATAATAATTGGTATACTAATGTGTACATTAATTAGTACATGTAACACCATCGATTTTTTGGAAATCCGTAGCATTGTTAAATAAATAAATAAATTCGCTATTAACACAAAATCAATTACTCCAAAAAATACTGACCATATATTGATGGAGTTATTATTGAAAAACGAAAATAATATATAATTTTATTTTTAAACTTAATAATGTGTAAGTGATATAATTAGTTGGTTATTATAGAGGATATAAGAGAGGATGTTATTTTTAATATCCTAATTTATTGCCTCATCACTGAGCTTGAAATTTGAGTTTAATTTTTTTTTTTTTAAATAGCAATATTCTTTATAAATAGAATAGAGATTTTTCATTGGGAACTCAAACTATAAGGCCAATTTTAAATTTTTGAGGCAAAAAATAATTCATATTATACCAACATATCCGTCTATTTGTCTATTATTCACCGTATCTATCTATCCATGTTACTTGTATGTCCACGAGTCATCTATTATTTATCCACGCATCAATTATTTATCCACTTAGTCTGTTTATCTATTTATATTACCACCATCACCATTAGTTGCAGTTGGTCACATTAGACGACTTTTCCAGCCATTTCTTCCGATTACTTTCTAGTGATTTTTTTGATAACGGACCGACAACAGTCAAGTGGCAGTGAAAAAAAAAAAAAACCCCTTAAACATTATCATATCTTTTTCATTAAATAATTTCATTAATCTTGTTCTTATTACCAAAAAAATATCAATTCCTATACCTAATGCCATATCTTTTTACAGAAATGGACTTTCACATTAGACGACTTTTCCAGCCATTTCTTCCGATTACTTTCTAGTGATTTTTTTGATAACGGACCGACAACAGTCAAGTGGCAGTGAAAAAAAAAAAAAAACCCTTAAACATTATCATATCTTTTTTATTAAATAATTTCATTAATCTTGTTCTTATTACCAAAAAAAATATCAATTCCTATACCTCTGCCATATCTTTTTACAGAAATGGACTTATCATCAATAAATTCTTTTTGTAATTTTATTTTGTTATGTTACAATGTACTATTAAAATTTAAAAGGAAACTTGCATATGGATCCTATGTTTGGGAAGTTGGGTTTGAGGATTTTTTGGTTAAAATAGTCACAAAAAAATAAAATAGACTTTTTAACCCAATAAGATAAAACATCACATCAAATCCATAATCATTACATTCTTTCTCTCACAAAAAAGTCAAAAAAGCCAAAATTTCTTCCCAAACCAGACTTTTTAATCCCAAGCTAAAATAGTTAAAAAGCCAACCCACTTTTCAAACGAATGGGTGAACTTATTGTCCAATAGATCTGGTAAGAATTAATGACTTTTTCATCAAACAATATTAAAAAAAATCACTAATTGTTAATTTTCAGCGACAGTTTAAAAGTTTTATTACAAAAAAAAAATAAAAATCACTAATTATAAGTTTTAGTGACAATTTAAAAAATCGTCACAAAAAAAACATTACTAATTTTTAACTTTCAGCGGCAATTTAAAAAATTCATCATAAAAAATCACTAATTGTAAATTTTAGTAACAATTTATAAAAATCACGACAAGTAAAAAGTTATTAATTGTTAATTTTTAACGACATATTTAAAAAATATCATAAAAAATTATTTTTAATAACGATTTGATTAAAATCTAATTTCAATAGGATTTGATGAGAATTACCTATTGATAGTTTACCCAAATTTAAAATTTTATAAATATCACATCATTTAGTAAAATTTCGGATTTTTAGTTTAAGGTCTGTAATATTAGAATTTTATAAGATAAATGACATGTAATATTTTTATAGAAAGATAAATTTTCAGCTATTCACAGAAAAATTTATCTGTAATAAGCTGAAATTTCTATAATAATATAATTGAAAGACCTTATCTAATAAGAAAAAATATATTGATCCTCTCCTACTATCCAAAGTTGGAGAGGCTTAAAAAAATTTTCAACTAGTTTTATATTAAAGGAAAATTCTAATATTCACCCTTTTAAAAATAGTATATCATATGTATATTTAGTTATACCATTTTTTTTCTTAGTTATGGCTCATTTTCTTTTTTAATCATGATATTATTTTAGTTATGACTCACAAGTTTTTTAGTTATATCTTATATTGTATTTAATTTAATTATGATATTTTTTAGTTATAACTCAAAAAATTAAAATTATATTATTTTTTTAATTATAAAATGTATATGTGGACATAGCGTTTTCCTAAATTAAAATAGAGATCTATTGAATGAAGAGAATTTTGAAATTCAACTATTAATCACAATGGTATATATTTGTAAGGGCATGGCTTTTATCCAGTTTGGGATCGAACTGGATCGTGTTATTGGATCCGTGAGGGCTCACCACGGGTCCTGTTTTGATAATTTGAATCGTTGAATGTGTAGAAATCATCGAGTACTATATGTCTGCAAAAAATCACTTTAATCGGATATCGATAGCTATGTGATCAAAATAGTTTTTTGTCAACCGTTAATTTGTTCACCGTCTAATTTTTTTAATACGAAACTGATTTGATCATACAGCTATCGATATCCGATCAACATGATTTTTTATAAATATATAGTACTCGACGAATTCTACATATTGATGGTTCAGATTATTAAAATGGAACCTGTGATGGCTTCCACAGGCTCAATAGTACAGTCTATCACGATTCCGGACTAGACAGCAGCCATACCCTATTTGTAAAGTGTCAGCAGTTTAACCGGTTGGTGCTCGCTGTGGGTAGGTAGGTCTGCCAACATGTGGCCATATATTTTGTTCACAGCTTCCCGCGGAAAAAAAACACTCTATATATTTATAAATAAATTAATAATATATAATATCTCTCAGATCTCTATAAGCAACCTATTGATTTTTATAATATATAAAAAAAATTAAATTAAGAAAAACCATCGTTTTTTTTTTACTATAAATTGACCCATCAAACCCCTGAAGATTTCAGTTTGTGTTGAATCTTTCTCTCTCTTCTGTCTCACTGAAAGATACCCGAAAGCCACCTCCTCTTCTCTCATTCATAAGGTAATTTTGATTTATTTCTTTTTTAATTTTTCAATTTACTCTGTTATTGCAAGCTTGGATCTTTCATACCCACTGTTGATTGATCTGTATATTGATGTGAATATCACTGGATGGTGCTTTTTGTTTCAAATGATATATGGGTTTTGCTCTGTTTTCGAGTTTAACATTGTTTTGATTTGTTGTCTTTGTTAATTTGATTTGCATTTTTATAATTTGAGGATGTGGATCTGTGTTTAAATCTTTTGTCATTGTGGGTTTTGTGGAAATAGGTTGAAGAGAAATGGCACGCAAGAAGATCAGAGAGTATGATTCCAAGAGGTTGTTGAAGGAGCACTACAAGAGGCTCGCCGGCACCGAATTGGGCATGAAATCTGCACAAGTGAGTGAAATTTCTTAGATTTTGAATCTTGGCTTTTCTCAGGTTGGCTTCATGAATTCTCAATAATGAGCTTCTGGAATTCGGTGTGATTCTTGAAAATGGGTCTTCTATAGTAGTTTGTGATATCAATCATAAACGGGAGCTGTTGGTTAATGGAAAGAGAATTCATTGGCTTCGTTTGGGAAGCCATGGTTTGGGCTTTTTTGGCTATTTTAGTCACAAAAAATAAAATAGGCTATTTTAGCCATAACAAACAAAACATCACATCCAACCCATAATCATTACATTCTTCTCTCACAAAAAAAACTTAAAAAAACCAAAAAGTTAAAAAGCCCTTCCCAAACCAAGCTTTTAAGCCCAGGCTAAAATAGCCAAAAAAGCCAAAAAACCAAAAAGCCAACCCAGTTCCCAAACGGAGGCTCACTACAACTACAAGGTCAAAGCTTTAATATATATAATATTTTTAAAAAAAAGACTTAATTCAAAGAATGTAAAAAATATTAAGGTTGCGTTTGGTAGAGTTTTAGAATTATGATTTGAGAATAAAGTTGTATTTTGATTTTGTGAGTTTTTAAATTATGATTTGAGTGTGGAAAATTTATTTGGTTATGAGCATGGTTATCAGAATCCCGATCCGGATCTTACGATCCTACGATCTTACGATCCATTTGAGTGCAATCGATCCGGATCGTGTAAAAAACTCCTTATAGGCAGGATCTTTCGATCCTGGTAGTGGGGTCTTATAGGATCGTGGAATCCCGATCCGAATCCGATCCTATCCGATCCAATTTACAAGCCTTGTTTTGTATTGTATGACATATTTTGTTGGTTTTGCTCTGTTTTCGAGTTTAACATTGTTTTGATTTGTTGTCTTTGTTAATTTGATTTGTATTTTTATAATTTGAGGATGTGGATCTGTGTTTAAATCTTTTGTCATTGTGGGTTTTGTGGAAATAGGTTGAAGAGAAATGGCACGCAAGAAGATCAGAGAGTATGATTCCAAGAGGTTGTTGAAGGAGCACTACAAGAGGCTCGCCGGCACCGAATTGGGCATGAAATCTGCACAAGTGAGTGAAATTTCTTAGATTTTGAATCTTGGCTTTTCTCAGGTTGGCTTCATGAATTCTCAATAATGAGCTTCTGGAATTCGGTGTGATTCTTGAAAATGGGTCTTCTATAGTAGTTTGTGATATCAATCATACACGGGAGCTGTTGGTTAATGGAAAGAGAATTCATCTCACTACAACTACAAGGTCAAAGCTTTAATATATATAATATTTAAAAAAAAAAAAGACTTAATTCAAAGAATGTAAAAAATATTAAGGTTGCGTTTGGTAGAGTTTTAGAATTATGATTTGAGAATAAAATTGTATTTTGATTTTGTGAGTTTTTGAATTATGATTTGAGTGTGGAAGATTTATTTGGTTATGAGTTTTGAAAATAGTTTTGAATTGTGTTTGAATTGAGTGATATGACATATGATATTTGATTCAAAAATTTACGACTCATAACCAAACATACAACCCCAAAATGCCATTCAAAGCTCATAAAAAATTTAAAAAATATTCCCAAAATATTTTTTATTTAAAATATGAAAATAACACGTGCCAAAAAAAGACAAAAAAAACACCGATACTATTCCAGTCAATAGGCTGGACGTCCGGGAGGATGATTGGGTAGACGTGTTTTGAAAAGCGGGTGTGGAATTCAAAGCTCATAAAATTTTTAAAAAACATTCTCAAAATATTTTTTATTTAAAATATAAAAATAACATGTGCCCAAAAAAAAAAACACGGATAATGTTTCAGGCTGGATGTTTGGGGGACGTCCGGGAGGATAATCGGGTAGACGTGTTTTGAAAAGTGGGTATGAAATCAATTTTTAAAAATTATAAACAAACAGAGCACTCAAATCATGTTGCGGAATCATGTTTGGAAAGTTCCACCAAACACCGCCTAAGTTTCTTTGTGATTTTCAATGATAAAAATTTCTTCATAGTTAAATTAGGATATGCCTGTATATTTTCAAAGGAAACATTTATTTTTCATGGAAAAAATATAAAATGAGAAATGAATCAATTAGGAAAAAGTTAAAAAGTAGTCCCATATGAAGATAAGAAACAATGGCTTGTGATATTATAGTCATGTGAATAGTTGACTGATGTAAGGAGGAGTGATTTGATCCACGTGGTGAGTGGTAAAGGAAACAGAAGAAATACAGCAAGGCAAGGGAGAACATGGGTTGAGGTCATGGATAGTTTGATTGTTGGACTCGTATCCTAAAATTTGGTATAATTGTTGTTCTAACATGGGAACAAAGCTATGGTTTTAGGAGGCCTTTGGTTCAAACTTATGATTTGTTTTGTCTTCCCGTTGTGTTTATTATTGTGCACTCTCGCTTATCTGTGTTTGTGCACCTGTCCAGTTCACCTCTTGACACGTGAGATGGGTTTTGCACATGGGGAGTGATAAGAAAGGGCACCTATCTTAAACTTA